TTTTTTTTTTTTAATTTTTAATACTTTCATAATTTTTGGACTCATTTGCATTTTTTTAAAAAGCTTAAGAGTAAGATTGCAATTTATTTTTTATTTTTCTTTTCTTTTCTATATTGTTTTATTTATATATATGAGGGTATATTGGTCATTTTACGTTAAAAATATATGAAATGACGTTTTCCGCAATGAAAAGTTGAAATAGGGGTGAAAATGTCAAAAAATGAAAGGTATGGACGTTTTACTCAATGACATTGAAAGGTAGGGACGTTTGGTGCTATTTACCCATTGATTTAGTTCAATTTTAATTATCGCGATCTTAACCGAAATATGAATAATTTGAAGTGTTTGTTTGTGACAAAATTATAACTAAAATAATCTACTTATACATTTATGAGTAAATTAACTAAACTAAATGCAAATTATGCTAAATGCAAATTGATGTGTTTAATAAATGACAAATGCACTGAAATCCCGAATTCACATGCAATAATCATTTTTAACCTTAGTTCTACACTTTAACAATACGATTGAATTTTGACGAATCAATATTCCTATTTTATTCAACAATCTCTCTCGAGTAATATTAAACATATTCTCATTTATGATCTGGCTATATTTCTATGATGAATGCGAATGTATAAGAATGCATGAATGTTAATGAACATTTAAAGATTTATATAGAGTATATCGATATATTTCTATTCCATATTGGACCATATGACAATTTACACTATGTCAAACCTTTTTCTTTCTTTCGAATGCATAAAATAAGCCATCAAATTCCTACAATTACCGTGCACTATAATCATAGAGAAAATATAATCATGTAAATCATTCAAAATCTAAAACGTGTTTTCAATGTCAAATATATAAAACTAACGATTAAAAATTTATATTAAAAGTTTCATCGTTCTCCTAATATAAATAAATCTAGTCTAACGTGTTATGGAGAAGAAAACAAAAGATATAATAGTTGTTCATCATCCGAAAATTCTTGAATTCAAT